TTGTCACATTTTATTTTAGTATGAGCATCAATTTGACTAATTTTCAAAGCTAAACTGAACTAGATTGATTCAATATTTAAAATCTAATATTTAGATATTTAAAAAATATACGAAAAAACATCATAAGTGGCAATCCTTCTCATATTAATACGATGAAAAAATTCAAATTGAAGGTACAAACAAAACTTCAAATTCATATAAATCTAATTTCAAATCATAATTTCATATCACTATCGCATGTCAGAGGAATAAGTACTTCATATCATTTTTTGCTAGAAAAAAAAAAAAACTATATGCAGAACATTTCATGAAGAACTTATACACAAACAGTTACTAGAAGTCACAAGCTTTGACTCTTCCACCAAACTAGATGGTAGAATGCTCAAAGCCAACACACCTTGTAGACATGTTAGTTACCTCTAATTAGGGGTCGCGGGATCCCAATCATCTCACCAAACCCTTCGATGGTAACCTATAGATAATCTACTCACACCGTAGTGCGTAAGACAAGAAATGAACAGCTCCATTGAGCAATTACTTCCGCGGAGAGTAAATACATCATTGCATAGCACTGTTTCCTAGCAAGTGAGTCTAATACTATATGCAGAACATTTCACTTACTTGTACACAGACAGCTACTACGAGATGCAAGCTTTATCCCTCACCAACCTAGACAGTTGAATGATCAAGCCAAACAGACATCATCGGCATGCTAGTTACCTCCTGGGTTCCGATTCCACGACACATAAGTTGGATCTCCAAGTTGCCTTGGCTTAAACTAGATAAACAATCATGAAAACCATAGCCAGAAAGAAACACAATCTACCAACAGTAATATCAGCAATACCAAGAAAATCATTCTTTCCACCAATCCAACTACTAGTTGTAGAAAGCACAGGCTTCTTCTTGCCATCAAAACTATAACGTCACGTTTATAATCTACTTGCACCACAGTGCGTAAGACGAGAATGACCAGGACCTTTAAGCAATTACTTCAATTATATATAAGTAAAATAGAATAAACACGTATCAAATAAAAAACATTTCACAACATATCATTGTTTCCTAGCAAATGAGTCTAAAGCTATATGTAGAACATTTCATAAAGAACTTGTACACAAAAACAGTTACCAGAAGACACAAGACTTGTATCTCACCAAACTAGATGGTAGAATGCTCAAGCAAACAGACTTCATGGGCATGCTTGTTACCACCTGTTTCCGATTCCACGACAAATATGTTGGCTTAACTAGATACACAATTATGAAAGCCATAGCAAGAAAGAAACACAATCTACCAACTGTTGGATAAACAATACCAAAGAAAATCGTTCTTTCCACCAATCCAGCTAGTTGTAGAAAGCACAAGGTTCTTCTTTCCATCGAAACTATACATATCATAAATGTTTTGCAATATCACATTTATAATCTACTGGCATCATTCAAGTCTTTTAAGCAATTACTTCGATTGTACACACATATTTTGAATAACACTTATCAAAGGGAAAATACTTCATTACATATCATCGTTTCCTAGCAAATGAGTTTAAAAGTATATGCAGAACATTTTTAAAAAAAAGAACTTGTAGACAGATAGCTGCTACAAGACACAAGCTTTGTCAACATCAACCTTAGATGGTAAAATGCTCGAGCCAACAGACTTCACATGCATGCTAGTTACCTCCTGGGTTCCGGTTCCATGACAAATATGTTGGATCTCCAAGCTGCCTTGGCTTAACTAGATAGACGACAGTGAAAGCCATAGCCAAAAAGAAACACAATCCACCTACAGTAAGATAAGCAATACCAAGAAAATCATTCTTTCCACCAATCCAGCTAGTTGTAGAAAGCACAAGCTTCTTCTTTCCATCGAAACTATAAGTATTGTAATTGTTCAGCAACGTCACGTTTATTGTATCACCCGCCTCCAGATCCACCTCTATCTTCCCATACAACTTCCTAAACGTCGGAAGTGCAGCAGTTCTCATCCAAACAATTAGATCTTCTTGCTTGTCCAACGATTCATTCTTAAGCTGCCCACCCCCAATTAGCGGCCCAGTCTGAAAGTTTAACGGAAAAACATCTTTTCCAAACTTATGATCAATATCACTCTTCCAAGCTATACCATTTTTGTTCACATTCAACAGCTGATTATTATTAACAGTAAAATTGTAAGTATCATTAAACAAACTCCAAGCAATCAACCCACAAGGCACAATTGGTAGACCATTAACACGATCTTCCGGGTCACAAGAACCAGTAGCATCCCTTTTACTAGCACTTTTCAACTGCTGATCGCTTCGACTTTTAACATACCTACGATGATTCTGATAATAATTCTCAAGCTGATAATAAACATAAATAGGCTGCTTCATTCTCTTAGGCACAGTCAAAGTCCTAACACATGTTTTATCTATGCTAGAATTAGTTATAAACCCAATTTTATCATCTGTCGAATTCAGTGGCACACATACAGAATCATAACGATCAACAATTTCAACAACATCTCTAGATGCTAAAAGTGAAACAACCCCAATTGGGATAAACACAATACCAACAAGCAAAAAAACAGAAATCACCCATTTTGGAGTTAGAATCGGTTTGCAAGCTGGAAGTTCCTGTTGAGTGAATCTTGAATACTTGGGTCGGTTTGAATTTCTTCTAATTGAAGTATTATCATCAGATCCAGCACCACCAGTAGTTGAAGATGAAGGGTTCATCTTTTTTTTTTCAACTCAAAATCAACTAAAACACAAAATCAGTTGAACCCAGATGAATTTTTGATGATTTTTTGAGAAATTTTTGGAGAATCTGAAGAAAGTGATGAATTTGAGAAATGGGTTATCGCTATAATTAAGGAATTTTGATCGGAAATCGGAATATATGGAGACGATTAGCTGTATGTTTACTCGTTTTTAGGGATTTTGTTTATTCAAGACTGCCTGCTTTTGACTTTGAATAGTATTAAAACGACGACGACTTGATCCACGTTTCTGTTTCTTTGCTACTCTCTCCGTTTCTATTTTTTCGTCCTACTTTTCTTTGTAGTCCGCTAAAATAATACTCCCTTCGTTTAAAAAAGAATGACCTCTTTCCTTTTTTGATAGTAACATTTTAATTTCAGATTTTCACGTGGCATGTTTAAAGCCACAAGATTGAAGGACAATTTAGTACATTTAACATAACTTTAATTTAGGACCACAAGATTCAAAAGTCTTCTTTATTTTCTAAAACTTTGTGCCAAGTCAAACCAGGTCACTCTTTGTGAAACGGAGAGAGTACTACTAATATTCTCTCCGTTTCTATTTATCTTCGTTCTTACCAAAAATAAATGTTCCTTAATACATGTGATTTAACAAAATCTATATATAAATAGTTATTGATCTTGAATATGTTCCTTAATTTTTCGTTCTTCTTCTTATTTACCCTTGAGAGTTATTGATATTGAAAGTATGAATTTGATAGACATAGAAAAAACTAAATGATAATTCATGTTTATTGGTCATTTAAATTAATCAAAATAAATTAATTTATGTTATTCATGAGATCACTAAACATAAATAAAGGTACAATGGTAAACTTACCTAATTTCTGAAGGGGCGTGAAAATCTAAAATGGTAACATATAAATAGGAACAAAGGAAGTATTACACATCGTATGTTTGTGTTTTGATATATTTGACAACAACAACAATAATAAACTTAATGTATTCTCATAATGTAGGGTGGAAGATAAAATATAGACAGATCTTATTATTAACTTAGAAGTAAAAAGATTGTTTCCGATAAACGCTCGACTTGAGACATTTTGATATATTTGACATATTTTTAGTTTGAAACTACAAATTTTTTTTTTTTTTTGTATTAAGTTAAAATCAAATAAATAATCGGAGCGAGTACATTCTAGAAAGAGGGGTGAAGGTTACAAGGAAGATTCTTGTGATTGACGAGTAGGTAGGGTGGCGTGGGTGGGCTGCCATAAGAGTAAATTTCCCCAAAAAAAATCTCACATAGGGTGGACCATATTAGTATATACTTTATTTGTATTTATACATATAATTTTAAGATTAATGAATTGATAAATCAAAGTGAAAAATAATTAACCATGGTTAAGGTTTAAGAAGTGTATAGTAAACAAGATATGTAGTGGTATAATAATTTTGGTTATCTACTTATTTAGGAGTTGACTAGTTGGTACATGAATATTGAGTTACAATTTTAGAAAACTAATAACAAATTTCATTTATGAGCTTTTAAATTGGTACTATAATTAGAATTTGATAAAATCACCTTCAAACAATCACGTTGAATGTTTGTATGATTAAAATTCAGGCATTCAATGCTTTTCTAGTTAATAATCCTATAAATTCAAGTAAAAATATTTAAAAATTGTTGCTAAAACTTTAAGTCGAAAGTCTTATAACTTCAGTCTCAAACGTCAAAAGTTAATTTCCAAGTGGCTAAACATGCATAACTCTATATACTACAACTATTTCTTAAATGAAAATCTTTATACAAATATCCAACTGATTTTATTATTTATTTTCTAATCGATACACATAAAATACAAATAGACACATATTTTCATAGAGAGAGGGCCAGAAAAGATCAATGAAATATTAGAGTGCAAGCTAGCTAATCTACCAACAAATCCTGGATTTCTCATCCACGAAGGTAAACTTGGGCTCATTGAATAAAAACACTCGAGTTGAAGGCCAACGAGTGATTGCGACAACTATGGACCCCTTAACTAGGTTACACTAAAATTATATAGTTATACACATATATTATGTATAATTTATACAATTGTCATGTATTTTTTATTAAAACAAATTGTATGAACGACCATTTAGGTTAATTCTTCGATCAGAACGATCGATCGATACGGCTAACCCATAATTTAACTATATGGGCCAACTAATTACTACGCAAGTCCAGCCCAAAAGAGAACTTAAGACAAAGCCCAGTATATAACCCTATTATATACCCCTAATTCCGTCCGTATTCCATTTAGGGTTTCAGAATCAACACTCACGAGCCGCCGCCGCCGCCTCTGTAGCTATCTCCACCAACATCAACAATGGGTACGTATACTCAAATCACTGTAAAATCGCCAATTCTGAATCAATTTTATAGTTTTTCTTCAATTTTTGTGATTTATACGGTTAAAAATAGTCTATCGTAGTGATTTTCAGTTTAGGTATAGTTTGATGGATTGATTTGTTACAATTTTGTGATTTATGATGAATTTGAACGTAAACGGAGGGGAGTTGATACAGAGGTTTCATGTAGTTGAAATTGTGATTAATTTGGAAGTGAGGAGGAGTTGATTGATTTTGCTTCGTAAATCTGATGTAGTTTTAGTGGTTAATTTTGTGTTTTTGGTGAAAATGCAGCCAGAATCAAGGTTCATGAGCTGAGGAACAAGTCGAAGCCTGATCTACTGACTCAGTTGAAGGATTTGAAGGCAGAGCTTGCTCTTCTTCGTGTTGCCAAGGTCACTGGTGGTGCTCCTAACAAGCTCTCCAAAATGTATGCATTCTGTCTTTGTTTGAGTTAGTTTAATAGTTGTTTGGATTTAGTATAATTTCGCTTGAGATTAGTATATTGCAAGTGATTAGTGTGATTGCGAAAGCATACAGTTGAAATGAGCTACATGTACATTACCTATCTTATATTGCACCCCGAATGACACTCGGTATGATTAACAATATTGTTCTGTATAGTTCGATCCATTAATTGCGAATTACTTTTCAAGTGTTGTCTTTTTTTCCCACTTGACATATATAACCAGTCAAGCCCACTTCAAGTGAGTGATTGGGAGCATTGCTAGAAACCTTGTAATATGAGAGTGAAGCAATTTGTATGCTATTAATGGCTTGTTATTAGTGAAGCTTATTATTCTAACATCGTACGGAGACTTAGTATTGGTGATCTTTTGAAATGGAGTATTGGTGTTTATACTCATAGCATGCAAGAAAAACTTTGTTGGTGGTGTCTTTGCAATAAAAACGTAGCTGGTGGTGTCTTTTCTTAGTTTGGTGACTAAACGATAGAATGAATCAACTAATGCAAATGTTTTGGCTATTATCAATTTGAGTGTTGTATGGCTTTGTTTATACTTTTGATATCGACCCTGATTATCTTAATGATTGTGTGGATGCAGCAAGGTGGTAAGGTTGTCTATTGCCCAGGTTCTGACTGTAATTTCACAGAAGCAAAAGGCTGCTCTTAGGGAAGTTTACAAGAACAAGAAATACCTGCCTCTTGACCTGCGCCCAAAGAAAACTAGGGCCATCCGCAAACGTTTGACCAAGCACCAGGTAATCCTTGATTTTAGCCTTGTGTTTATGCACTTAGAGCTATTGAGCTTCTGGGGTCTTAATTTTGCAATGCATATGTTACTCTTGGTTCTATATATGGCGTCCTCTATCCCAATAATAATGAAACTATTACTATTTAGTGAGTATAGTATTTGTTTATTTTTGGCTACTCCTTCCGTCCTAATTTATGGGACACACTTTCCCTTCTAGACTGAATGTCGCCTTCCGATAATTAGACATAATTTATCTTTAAAATTCTCCTTAATATATAACCACACAAAATGCTAAGAATTGTTTTAAACCACAAATTTTAAAAGTCTTCCATTCTTTCTTAAACTTTATGCCAAGTCAAACAGTGCCACGTAAATTGAGACAGAGGAGAGCTATGTTTGCAACATTTTTTCAAATAGTTTTAAGTAGATATTGTATCCGGATCCTAACAACTTGTTACAACAGAGGGCTTTCTCTTTTTAAACAATGAATGTGGATGAGGGGTGTTTGTGATGCTATGCTGCCACAGTTTTCTTCAATATCTCCTGCATCTTCTTTTGTCTCTTTCCTAGCAATGTCATTGATACCTAACTACAAGTGTAAAACAACATAATTAATGACATTAACTTAAACTCTTTATATCCTCACAGGCGTCTTTGAAGACGGAGAGGGAGAAGAAGAAGGAGATGTACTTCCCTTTGAGAAAGTATGCTATCAAAGTGTAGGCTAGGATCTAAGTTCGCAGAAATTTTGGTGTTTGAATCAGGATATATATTGGTTTAAACCATTTATCATGCAAATTTTGTTTAGTTTGCTTTTGTTTGGCACTTGTGACATTAGAAACATGACTGATATGGAGCTTTATTTGTTCCTAGTATCAAGTGTTTGCTTATTTTATGTTATTAAAAGTACCCTTTTCATTAGGTATTTCATGCCATGTTGAGATTTTTATTTGATCCTAGTGGGTTTTAGAAGTCCATTTGACTTGGTTAGACAAATGATTGCTTGATTAAGTGAGGTCATGTTGCTGTTAGCACCTTGAATGGAATTCAATTAATGTCATAGTAGCAACTTACACAAGATATGTACATGTCTTGTGCTCACACATATTTTTCTAAGATATCTCATGTACGAGCGCAAACAACACGTAATGTGTGGATTAAATTCATTATGATTTTACTATTTTATTGTACTATAGCTTGATATTGAAGTTTAGAAGAACAAAGGGAGGAGTGTTGAATTTTGTGCCAACTAGTGGAATTGAGTTGTTTCTCCCTTAGAGCATTGGGTATGGAAAAATCTTTGGCAGGAACGCTTCCTTGGAGGTCCTATGTGGTGTGAAATTGGATTAGTCGGACTTTAATGTGTGTACTAAAAACCATATGGGAAATCAAAAAAAAGAGAAGAAAACAACTAGTTCTTGGGGTATCTTAGGTACCGCGTGAAATTAGTCTAAACTAAAGATCCTTTAATTTTGATTAGTACATTACAAAATCTTTAACAAATCAAATCTCTTTATCATTGCTTACTCATAGATTTGTGTCGATTAGGTAGTAGTGAATAAATAAATAAAAACAAACTTTTTAGTGACCATCAACGTGCCTTTTTTTCAAAGGATTATAATAAAAGTTATGATCTGAGATTAATGACAGAAATGCCGTGGACTAATCACTAATTCTGCATTATACGTGCAACCCTCAAGATTTTCTTCTCCTTTTTTTTTTTTTTTTTTTTGTCTTTTATGCCTAACATTATTCAAGAATTATTGAATTGGTCCAAAACATATATTTTTTGGTAACGGTCAAAATAAATTATTCTAACATATAGTATTATATTAGTCATTAGAGCAATTATGAGTATAATTTAGTTGGCTACTAGAAAACTAACTCGTGCTATTTATTATTAATATTATAAATAGCAAGTTCGTTTAATCAACCAAAGTTATTGTAGACATGTTTACGCGTAGCCCATGTGATTGCTTATTAAAATAATGCAAACCAACATTTTTCATTAATAAAATATTTAGTGTGATATTACAAGTGAAGTCGGGAGAGATAGTATTGGAGCGAGGATTTGTATTAAGGAGGTTCAATTTATGGAAAAGTAAACACACGAAGAAGTCGAAGGGTGTTTAACATCTAATATAGATATGTTTAATCCCTTTCGACTTCTTCGTGTGTTTGCTTTTTCATATTTTGAACTTTCTTAATTCGTGCAAATTTTGGCTCCATACTTATGATATATATAAAATAATTTTAATCGTGTATAAATAATGTAATCTTCCATCGAAAGAGATTCAAATGACCCCCTCAATCCTACTTAGTTTCACCCCTGTGGAGAGGGTGATATGTATAAATCTTACTACTATCTTTGTGAGGTGCATAGATTGTTTCGTATAAAGATACCCAAGTACTCAAGAAAAATTGTTAACCTTTTCCTTTTTTTCCCCAAAGTCGATGGTATTTGGACTAGTTTACGTATAATTTCTGCTTATAGTATAGGTGTCGGATAGTTCATCCTATTAATATATGTATCAGGTAACTTCAGTTGTGTTTGGCCACGTATTGGGTAACTTTAATGGTGCTCGAGCCATATATCAGATAACTCTGATGGTATTTGTCCAGCTTGTGCACAACCCAATAAACAACAAGATATATAACTCAACCCATCAGACTTGAGCAAATGAACCAAAAAACTCATAATTTTCCCTATTTTATCGAACACTAGGACACATCTTCGCTTAAAGGTGAAATAATTTTTTTCTTGAAATAATTTCAACATTAGAAATTATTAGCTAGAAAAATATAGCTTTGATGGAATAAGCAATTTGACTGTAATTTCCAATTGGAAGTCATTTTAATGAACTGAAAGTCGTTTTATTGTTAAAGGTGCACCCATGCTCCATATAAATTAGTTAGTCAATATAGTCTATTTATTCAAAATATAATTATTGCTATTAAGAAAAATATATAACAAAATGTACACTTAAATCATTTGGAAAAAACAAGCCCATTTTATCTAGAAGACAAATATTTTCCAACTGAAAAAAGAAAAGAATATATGGTTATTTGCTTCTTTTTTTCTCCCGATCTTTAATTTATTTCTCTCATAATAAATAATTTTTTGTTGGATACAGTTTTATATTTTTTTATATAACATTTCACAAGTTATATAATGATTTCAGATTTTAAAGAATTTATGTTCCACTAGGCATAAGTTCCACTGTTAAATAATAAAAATTAAAAATTAATTCATCTGAATAGAGGAAACGTAATATCAATTTATTTAAAGGACAATGATGAAATGGTCACAACTGAAAAAACCATAATACCAACCCCCATATAACACCTTCCAAGTTGTTTCCTTAGTCAAACTAATTACATTATCTGTGAAAATAGGAAATAATAATAATAATAATAATAAAGTAATGATATTTTTCATATTATCTATTTAATATGTGAATATAGAACTTATACCAAAATTCCATGAAAAAATGTGGAAGCATCTAATGGAAAAGAGGTGGCTTGGCATGGAAGAAATGAGTGGTGTTGAATTAGAATTTAAAATTTATGGCTTTTATATCGATCTGTTTAGATAAATATATATTATAAATATGAGGTTACAGTTAAATACATATAAATATTCAATGGATTTCTTAATATATACACATAGTTTGGATAAAAAATATTATGTCATGTGAATCGATAACTTAGAAGCTAGGTTTGCCCCCTAGTCTAAGATACAAATGTGAAAATCTTGAGCAAATTATAAATTGAAAAGCCATAAGGTAGGAGTGATTAAATTATAGCTTCGATCGATTTTGGCTCATAAACATTTCAAATGTATACTAAATACGTAGATAAGTCAAAAAATATTTATATAAATCAGTTTGATCAATTTGTCGCTTACACAAACACTCTCTAAATTTCTCTAGATCTAACATAACAACTTTAGGGCATTATAAAAATATACAATGGACAAGAGGATCCTTGATGCGATAGTAAGAGCTGCCGCCAGTGATCTACTGGTCATAAGTTCAAACTGTAGAAAAAATCTATTGTAGAAACACAAAATAAGACTACGTACAAATTATAATATACAATACGTTTCGATCCTTCACCAAACTTGCACATACAGAAAGCTTTGTGCATTTACCTACTAGTTTCTTAAAAATTCTATTTTAATATGAACCATAAAGATTATTTTTTTGTATTTGTAATCATATATTGGGATGACCATAGACTTTAGAATTGATTTGTATCCATACATTGGGATGACCAGTCAAATTCAATGCCCACAACTCAACCCTCATCTTAAGGATCTAAAATTTATTTTAATAATTTTGGTGGAGTTTTGTCAAACAGTATCTTAGTTCAAATCAAGGACTTAAAATTGCTCTTACAACCAATATTGGTTATAATGAAATGACTGTGATTCCTTTATCCTTAATTAGATATTTTAGGTTTAGTTCCGAAAATGAAAAAAAAAATCATGTTTGGAGCGTCACCTCCAGAAATGACCCCTCCAATTCACTAATCCAAATTAATCAGACTCTTTTACAGATATCGAACACCAAGTGGGAAACCAGAAAAAGAAAAAATATGCTCTTTGAAGATGCAATTGTCAATAAATCCTGCTGTATTGGCTCTTTCTTACCTCAAAGTTTCAAAAAAAAAATCTCAAGTCTTTATCAAGTCCATTTAGTGTACCAAGTCAATTTTTCCCTTTTCTATTTAAACTCTCTTATCATAACTATTATTCCTACACCAAATATTCACAATAACTTTCTTTACTACAAGATCAAGAATCATTACTCTTTCGTTTCGATACAAAAATAAATAAATATTTTTTTTCACAAAATGGCGATTCTTGACATGTCTAAGAGAGAACCATCATCACCATCGACACCACAGAGAGCCAAAAAGAGCCTATTCTCTTTCGCGAAAACCACTTCATCCCTCTCTTCCTTTTCTAGTCATATACCTCCTCAGAAACCTTCGTTGACATTCTCTCGATCTATCATGGAAGAGAATATTGATAACGCGGACACTATTATCAAAAAATGGGATCATAAAGAATCGTCTAACGAAAAATTCACTTCACTCTTTCAAGAAGATAGAAAAGAAGCCAAAGAATACATTCAATGTGTCAAAGACTTGAAAAAAGCTATGCATTTTTTTGTTACACAACATTCAACTTGTAACAAACTTGTACTTGCACAAAACTTGATGCAAAAGGCTATGAAAAGACTAGAAAATGAATTTTACCAAATTTTGTCAACAAAAAAGGAGCATTTGGATCCTGAATCAGTATCCAAGTCTAGTCAATCCTCACACATATCGAGGTCAATTTCAGTTGATTCAGAAGAATCAACTGACCCCGGAAATGAGATTCAGCACACTACTGGTGCTGAATCCATTTCCGAGGCTGAACATCTTTCACTTCTAACAATGTCTGATCTCAAAATGATCGCGGATTGTATGATTGGTTCTGGCTATGCAAAAGAGTGTTGGAAGATCTACAGGATCATCAGGAAATCTATCGTCGATGAAGGACTCTATCGTCTTGGAATTGAATCGCGTAGCTCAGCTTATGTTAACGCGATGAAACCAAATGTTCTCGAACATCAAGTCAAGCATTGGATTGATTCAACTAAAATCGCGGTGAAAACACTCTTCTATGGAGAGAGGTTTCTTTGTGATCATGTTTTTTCAACCTCGAAAACAATCAATGAAACATGTTTTAGTGATATAGCCAAAGAAGGAGGAATCGTTTTGCTTAAATTTCCTGAGCTCGTTGCAAAGACGAAGAAATCACATGAAAAGATTTTTCTTTTAATGGATTTGCACGAAGCAATAGCTGAACTATTGCCAGAGATCGAATCAATCTTCTCGTTTGATTCGATCTCATCTGTCAAAGTTCAAGCTGTTTCGTCATTAAATAAACTTAAGATCTCTGTTCTAAGTATCATCTCTGATTTCGAGCAGTCAATACAGAGGAATTCCTTGAAAACACCAGTTCCTGGTGGGGGAATTCATCCGTTAACCAACTCTGTTTCGGATTACTTGGCTTCGTTAGCAAGCTACAATGGAGTCCTCTCATATATCATTTCTGACTCTACATCAACGAAATTTGCTGAAACTTATTTCGACAGTGCATTGATAAGTGAAACTCCCGAAAATTCATCAGTCTGTGCTAAATTGGCTTGGATTGTACTCGTTCTGCTTTGCAAACTCGATTGCAAAGCAGAGTTGTACAATGACATCGCGTTATCCTATCTCTTCTTAGCTAACAATATCCAATTCATTATCGAGAGGGTACGTGGAAGTACCCTCAAGATCATATTGGGAGATGAATGGATATTGAACTTGGAGAGAAAGGTAAAGTTGTATTCAACAAAATACGAAAATGTAGCTTGGAATAAGGTGTTTATGTGTTTGCCTCAGAGTTTAGATCCCTCGATTTCCTCTGATACGATTAAGGAACACTTCAAACGATTCAATGAATCGTTTGAAGCAACGTATCAGAGACAGAAATCGTGGGTTGTACCTGATGGGACTCTACGAGACGAGATCAAAGTATCGATTGCAAGAAAATTGGTGCCTTTTTATAGGGATTTTTATGAGTACTATATGGTAGTATTGAGTGGGGAAAAAGATTTGGAGGTGTTGGTAAGATTTTCACCTGATAATATTGGGAATTGTTTGTCTGATTTATTTCATGAAAATGTTAGGTCAAGGAGTTTAATATTGTCATCATCAACATCATTGCCAAACTCATGTGTTTGGCAATGTATTTCTTAAATAATGTGTACTAAGTACCGTATGCTGCTCGGACTCTTCAAAAGTGTTACTGGATCCTCGTAAAGTAATGTGTTTTTGGGGGATACCATACATGTGGGACAACATTTTTGAAGAGGTCCGAGCAACATAGATTACAAATTGTTGATTTTAATACTAAAAGTTCTCTCAAGTCTTGAAGAATTATAAGTAAATTGTGTGCTTGATTGCCCATGAGTTCTATTTTGAATCGAGAAGTATTAAACTAATAAATGTTGTGGGATTCTCAAAAACTAGTTTATTTTTGAAGGATTTGATACTGATGCGATAATATTTTTGGAAAGGTCAGAGCAACATAGATTACAAGTTGTTGATTTCAATACTAAAAAGTTCCCTCCCTGAAAAATAAGTAAATTGTGTGCTTGATTGTCCATGAGTTCTATCTTGAATCGAGCAGTATTAAATAATTATATTAAATTTTATTGCCAAAGAGATATATTTACTAAAACATTATGAATGAATTTGTTACTTTTTTTCTAGCATTACAAAATATATTTTTACTTTTTTTTCTTTGTTGCACATTTTTAAAACTAAAGCCCACCTTTTAACTTCGATTAGCGATTAAAGCCCAATTAGGTTTGGAGTTTATACACAGGGTATGCTTTGGTATATCTAGTTATGTAGGGTGAGTAACTTTAGTCTTTGCGGAATGCACAAATTGGATATGCCTGCTTGTGATATCACTAATCCCGGAAAACAATTCTTTCCCCATTGACTTTTCTCCTAACGACCCATTGAATTTACCCTGATTTATTTTGGATTGTAACATATTAATTCACAATAAAATGCTTGTGGTAAGAATATATGATTCATGACCTTATTAGGGGTGTGCAAAGGCATATTAATGACCTAAAGATTAAGGTTTGGAATTTAAAATTCTACCGCAATCCATTTGATTTATATGTAGTATATTATTTTGATAGCGATGGTGGAGGGCAAATGATGTGATGTATCATGTAGTGTTCACTTTACTAAAATGTCAATGTGATATTTTGGAAGTCTATTTTGTACATCCCTAACAAAGGAGGGTTATGTTTGAATCACTTCAATTAATATGGGGTATTTTAATTTCATTATATATAGCAAAGGGTTAAGTAGATTATTTATTTTTTCCGATAATTACTTTATTTTTGTAGATTTTAAACTGTAAATTTTATTTTTTAAAAACTTAAGAAATATGAGCAATTAATTACAACAAAAATTAGATGAACTAATCAATCTACTTTGAATCATGTTACTGAGGAAGAAAGGCAAGTGTTAAATACAAGTTGAGAGTTAACCATAGAATTAAGTAAAATTTGCATCATAATTAAAGTCGAGTCGACAGCTTAAATCATATGATTTTATGGGTACAAGGTCATGAATCATATATTAATACTCCAAAACATCAGTTATCTCATTACTTAATTTACCAACTCTTCTTGAATTAGCCTTACCCAAAAACAGTACAGTCAACAACAACAAACCAAGTATAAACAATAAGCAAAATTTGAGAAAGGTAGAGTATACACAAATTTATTCTTATCTAGAAAAATTGATTTCCAAAGATCCTCGACGACGACTAATATAGTTCAGAAAAGTGAATTGTCAGATGCATAGTTTTCCTCTATAATAACAGTACATCACAAAGTGTTCCTTTCAAATAAATGTTACTACAACATTATTGGGCGTAATATATAAATAGTGTAAGATTTAATCATCGTAAAAATTTCACTTTGACGTACTGCTAAAGTTTGTTATCTTTTTAAAGGTGCAAGATTTGTTCTTCACCTATATATATCCATTATATTGTTTCAAGAAACAGGGAAACAAATAATTGAGCTGGGGCTAAGATGTCTATCATTAAAGTAATTAAGGGAGGTCCACATGTTTCATTTTTCCTATTCTTAGTCCACTTCTTTTGTCCCACTTTAATTTATTGCACAAGTGAGACATTATTTCAACCAATTCTTTCATTTTTTGGCTTTAAATTTATCTACAAAGAAAAAAAATTCACCCAACTACTACCTTTTACTTTTACATTAACATTTGTACAATTGCTCGTCGTTTGGGTTTTACTTCGTTAGATGATTTTTACATGAAGTCATAATAGCTCGATTGATTGATTACTTATACCATTTATCATTAACTTAAAGTGCCTCAAAAGTTAAAATTATTGCAGAACATGGAGTTGTCGCTTTGAAGTTTCTCATAAAAAAGGGTAGACAAAAGCTTACCTACGGTGTCTCCTAGAAGTCGTGCGGTGAAGAATAACCCATCAAATTTTTGTCCAAACCATTCATTTGTCACCTCTATACATGACTAATAATGTTTTTCAAAGAAGTGTAAGTTCTAGATATGGCAACTGAAGAACCAAAAACCAAAATCATCCCAATAAACATAACTTCCAAATATGAAGGCTTCTTGATCTTGAGATAGCATAGGCATGGTAACAATATTGACACGGTAACGCCCAAAAGCGCGTCCGCAAATGTCATGACATATCCAAAAATTGAAACGGTCAACGCCACAATGACCGTGCTGTGACCAAAAATATTCAGATGAAGTAGCTCACGATAAATTTACTCTTTCGTAAAGGGAATTTATCTTCAATAGCCATTGCAATTGGAGAGACGACAAGAGCATACTTTGTTATTGGATTAACGAGTGTCGTATATATCGCAATTTTCAAACTAATTTTCCCGATAGGGAGATTTAATGTTATTTGTGACATTAAATTTTGTCCATACATTAAGTACCCCATAGTTGCCATTGATCCATAGGTTATGGTGCTTAATATAAAACACACAAATAAAACCTGTATGACAAGAAGAAAAAAAAAAGATTCAAGTTATACACACTGATCAAGTAAAATATGTTTATAATTATTGGTGTGTAAATGACTTTTCATGCAATTATAGGGGGTATTTTATATTTTTTTCTCTTGATTAAACAATATTAGATGATAATGCGTAACTTTTGACCATGAGACTAAAAAGAAAATATAAAAAAGATGACATTAGTCTAAAGTAGTCTTGTGAATTGTCTTTTTATATTGTCCATTTCTCAATGTCTAATTATTTCTTCTTTCTAGTACCAATAATACTCCAATTCTCAATTCCTCCAACCACTTCTCATACACAATTTTTTGAAATATATATATCTTTTTAAAAAAAAAATTGATTGGTCACTTTTTTTCTTTAGAAAAATGAGTTTTTAATTTATAAAAATAAGGAAATGACTTTTCTAATGAAAGCAGGAGAAACAAGTTTCATAAGTGAAACACCCTTAAACTATGTGAAATGAACAAAAATGTCAGCCTATTATAATTTGGTCCAAAAATGCATTTGCCTCATTACTTTCGTCCATAAACGCCCTTATTGTTATTTAATGGGTCAAAAATGCCCTTCCAAATAAATATATTATTTATTTTCTTTTTAACACATATTTTTTCTAATAATATTTTTTAAAATTAGTGAATGTTTATCCTACTTCAATTTTTTTTAAAATATTTCTTATTTTATTATAATTATTTTTTATCGTTATATAAATGAAAATTAAAGATGGATATACTATGATGTTATATATGTGACGAAAATTGATGGCAAGGGCATTTTTGAGCCAAACTACAAATGAAGGATATTTTTATTCATTTCACATAGTTTAAGAACATTTTTGACCCTTTTCCGAAAAAATATATTCTTAAAAGACAAAGGACCAAATAGGAACCCCACCTAGTGAGACATTATTAGTGGGCTTATCTTTAACACCTTTACAACTCACAACTGGAAAAGAAAAGATTCTAATTTCACCTTTGATTTTCCTTCATTCTTAGTTTGATGTAAATTGTTTCTCTTGAGAAGTTGAAAGGAAGGATTTTTTTTTTTAAAACTACTTTGGCTTGATTAGTGAGAATGGAAAGAGGAAAAGAAAATGAAGGGCAAACAAAAGGGGAAGATAACAAATCATTGGTATGTTGTTTATAATATTTAATTTTTTTTTTCATTCACATAATTAATGTTTCTTGTAAGTATGTTTGTTGCTTTGTGTAACTTAGATGGTGAATATAATCTTTATAACCTATAAGAATCGATGATTTAATCTCTCTGGTATAAGTTAAACTCTATGTACTAAATCATCTGCTATGGTTGATAAATGTAAGGGAAAGAATATAATCTTAGATCATGAGAATCGGGCCTTGGTGGCCTAAGTACAACATGTTTGGAATGGCTTAAGAATAGGGGTGACAAATGGGCGGGTTGAAAATGGGTCAACATAAAATGGGTAATAATTCAACCCGCCCATATTTGATATAGGTAAAAATGGATTAAATAAGAAATGGGTTGGGTAAAATACTAGTTTACCCATATTTACTCATATTTTCATGAGTAAATAGTACTCTACTTAAGAATTCAACATGGAGAAAATATTTTAGTCTTTTTTTAGATGAGAATGCTTCATTTAGTTTTATTGTATCATAAAAGTAAAAAAAAAAAAAACCTATAATTTTTCAATATAAAATAAAATTATGTAATAACAAGGGGAAAACATTTTTAGTTTCAAAGTAAATGAATATTTGCAGTTTAGGACTAAAACATGCTTAATGCACTTTAAGCAATGTCAATACTAATACATAATTTGCTTATTTTATCCTATGTATTTATTATCCAATATAAAATTAAACAAATAAAAAAATATAATTATAAGTAACAAAAGAGAGGTACATTTAAAATATATATTTTTAAAGGGCGAAAGACTTCAACTTTTCAATTATAGTGAAAAATAATTAGTTCGAACATAAAAAGCAAGACTTTGTCCTCTTCACTTGTAACAGTTGCTTGTTATAATGCAAGAGTAAAAATTAGAGTCAACAATCAAAACATGCCTGAGCTATCATGTTTTGGCGAGTTTCACAACTCAACTATATCAGTCGTTTCCTTTTTCTATCTAAACTAAATCACCATCTATGTATTAACATAATTTGAAACAACATTTGCTCTTTTGGCAGGTGTCATCCCGCGTTGTACTTGGCGAGGACATTGTCAATCTTCTTGATTTCATAGAGAGATTAAATAGTGGGCGTGTTCAAACTTCTCTTTACATGTTTCAAATTAAAGAGTTGACATTGAAGCTGACGTTTTTGTCCGCATTTTGTCATCTTTATTACTCTTTCTTTTTGGAAAGCTGTAATGACGAAATGTCAAATGAGATTCATGATTTGGTTCAGTCACTGTTTCATCCAAGTGGAGTAGACATGCGGGTTAGTGTAAAGTATCATTTCCTCTGGAAGAATATCAGAAGTTATATTAGCTCATATAGCTATGCTGAACCAAGTCGTGTAACCACCATGACCGAGGATCGTTTCGTTGAACTTTTAGATGCCATCCTCAAGTGTTGTTCTGCGTTGAATTTCCCATCATTTGAGCTTCTTCAGAATGTATTTGGCAATTTAAGAGATTTCCATAGGTTGAAAGTAAATGGTTGTGTTGAGTATGAGACAATCGAATATGTCTTACCTCGTCTTCAACTCATGGCTCTGAGAGTAGTAAACATCTGCTATTTTACTCTTGTGGATGAAACAGCTGTCTCTCTAGTTGACTCCAAGCTAGCTAATCTACTTTTGGAGGTTATTCCTGTTGAACTGGAGGTTATGCACATATGTTGTACAAATTTGAAAGGTTCAAACTCGGTAGAAGTTGGACGTTTCATCAAGCAGCTCCTAGAAGCCTCTCCGGACATTCTTAGAGAATCTCTGATTCATCTACAAGAGCACATGGTTATTAATGTTGTTACTCCTAGCGCTTCTACGTGTAACATTCATGTCATGATAGAGTTCCTATTGATTATTCTTACTGATGTGCTCAAGGACGTTATTCATCATGACAAATTGTTTGTTCTCTTGGCACGTGTTATAGAACTTACCAAGGAGGTATTCGTTCTTGTTTGCAACATAGAAGAGAATATGAATGAAGCAAGTGATGCAAACCTAAACTTCATGGAAAATATTGAACTCCTCAAGAAAGATCTCAAGAATGATTTCTTAAAAGCCCGTGCAGACTCGTCTCAGCTCTGCTTCCCCATGAGTGATGGACCTCTCTTCATGACTCTTCTACTCACAAACTTGAATGACTTGGCCAATTCCAATTCTTCCTCAGTTGCTTTTATAAAAAAAGAAATTAAGCAGCTGAAAGAAGACCTGGAAATTATAAGATCGTTCTTCGGGTATGTTGAGCAAGAGTTGCATAGAGATCTTTGGACTCGTATTCTAGATGTGGCATATGAGGCGGAACATGCCATTAACTCAATTCTTGCCCGAGATCATGGTCTATTGCATCTTATCTTCATACTTCCTGACACCGTAGAAAAGATCAAGCTTGTGAAAAGAGAGGTACAAGAGAAGATCCCCAAGAGCAGAGGTATTATTGTTAGAAACGCTCCCAACAAGCCGGTTGAAAGAAACTCATCGAGTACAGTTGGTAAAATAATTGTAGGTTTTGAGGAGGAGACAAAGTGGATGATTAGGACGCTCACCAGCGGACCAGCTGAGATAGATGTCATTTCCATAGTCGGCATGCCAGGGCTTGGAAAAACTACTTTGGCTTACAGAGTGTATAATCATAAGTCCATTGTTGATCATTTCGATGTTTGTGCTTGGTGCACAGTCGACCAGGAACGTAATGAGAAAAAGTTGTTGCAGAAAATTTTCAATCAAGTTGTAGGTTTTAAAGAAAGATTCAGTGAGAATGACATAGATGAAGACGTTGCTGATAATCTGCGGAAAAAACTGTGTGGACAGCGGTACCTTATTGTCTTGGATGACATGTGGGATACTGCAACATTGGATGAGCTAACAAGACCTTTTCCTGAATTTCGGAAAGGAAGCAGAGTGATTTTAACAAGTCGGAAAAAGGAAGTTGCTTTGCATGGAAAATGCCACAGTGATCCTCTTTATCTTCGATTGCTAAGATCAGAAGAAAGTTGGGAGTTATTAGAGAAAAAGGTATTCGGAGAAGAACGTTGCCCTGATGAACTAAAGGATGTCGGAAAAATGATAGCCCGAAAATGTGATGGGCTTCTTTTGGTACTTGATCTAATCGGTGGAGTCATTTCAAGGAAGGAAAAGAAAGAGGTTTTGTGGCTTGAAGTTCTCAATAATTTGAGTTCCTTTATTTTTCAGGATGAAGAGGAAGTTGTGAAGGTTATACAATTAAGTTATGACCATTTGTCAGATCACGTAAAGCCGTGTTTGGTTTACCTTGCAAGTTATCCAAAGGACAAGGATATTAGGATCTCTGCGTTGAAATATTTTTGGATTGGTCAAGGACTTGAGATGAAAAGTGCAGAAGAAGTAGTGAATGAGTTAATTTCCAGTAGCTTGGTAATACCTTTCGATAATTCTATTTGCAAAATTCATGATCTTGTGCATGACTTTTGTTATATAAAATCTAGAAAGGAAAAGTTGTTTGACTTCATAGGAGGTTCAAACGCTCCGTCTTCTTCTTCTGGTATGATGGCACGAGGAATTACCATTCAAAGTCTCTTTCATTTGGATGAAAATTTTGTGGTGTTTAATCCAGAAAAGAAGAATCCTTATGTTAAACACCTCCTCACTCTGACGGTCTATGAGAATTGTCTTCCCCACAAGAGTCACCTAAAACACTTGAGGCTTCTTAAAAGTTTGAATTTGTACGGCGTACCATTGACAGATTCTTTGCTGAATGAAATCGGTATGCTCATTCATTTGAAGTACTTACTCATTCAGACGAAGGCAAAAGCTCTCCCTTCGTCATTTTCAAACCTCTGCAATCTAGAAACTCTGGTGGTGAATAACGTGGAGGGATCATGCATGGTACTATCGCCTTGTTTTTGGAGCCTTGCAAAGCTACGAGATGTGTGGATGGAGTGTTGTGCTGTCTTTGATCCGGACATCAACGAACCAATTGTGTTAGATGAGGATTTAAGGTTAGAAAATTTGAAAACATTATATGAGCTCTACCTTCCCGGTTCATAAGACACGGAGGATTTTTTCAAAAGGTTTCCTAATCTGCAAAACCTTGTAGTCAGTATCAAAAAACTACCAGATTGTTCAGCAGAGAAGATTTGTTTTCCAAGATTGGATGTCCTTAACGAACTTGAACTACTCCATTTATCTACTTTTTCTAGGTATTCATTCCATGAATATACACACGGCTTCCCTTCGAGCTTGAAGAAAATGATGTTGTGTGGGCTTGCTCTGACATCCGATTCATTGTCAAGAATTGCTAGACTACCCAACCTTCAAAAACTAAGTCTAGAATACACAATCATCGAGGAAGGGAAAGAATGGAACATGGAAGATGTCACTTTCCAGAATCTCAAATCTCTAAAATTGTTGGATGTGAAATTTTCTAAATGGAACATGGAAGATGTCACTTTCCAGAATCTCAAATCTCTAAAATTGAAAGAATTGAAATTTTCTGAATGGCAGGTTGATGCAGAGAAATCCTTTCCCGTGCTCGAGAAACTATATATAAGAAGTTGTTATAAGCTTATGGAGATCCCAGACAGTTTTGGAGATATTGCGTCATTAGAGCTTATCAAAGTATGGGACTGCCCTCAGCTTAAAGAGTCAATCTTCAATATTAAGGAATATGTTGAAGAAATGACTGGACAAGACAAGCTTGAGGTAGACTTCTACACAATTCATTAACTTCTTTGTGGACTAGTATGTACTGTAGTTTTTATTTTAGATATATAGGTTTATAACGTTATTTTGTTGTTATTACGGTTTTTTTTTTTTTTTTTTTTTAATTTATGTTTTGTAATGCTTCCTTTCTTCTGTATGTTTGTTGATAGTAAAGTCACAAAATTATTGATTGTCACATTAAAGTAATTGAACTTTACCCAATATAACGGTGAAGTCACTAGGCTTTGAATTTAACTTGTTTAGCAGAAAATAGAAGTTATGCAAATTGATTCCCCAATTGAATTTGTGCACACAATGTTTGATTGGTTTGGGAATATTTGGTTTAAAATATTTATTGATATTTCTCAAAAAAAAAAAGTGGGGTCAAGTTGAGTGGTTTGAGCTACAAATAATTATTTAGCCCATCTTGACTCAACTCATTATAGTCCAAATAAACTTAGGACAAGATTGAGCAACAACCCATTGATTTAGTCCGTTCTGACTCATCCAAAGTATGTCCAAACCGTTCTTTCGTCACCCTACACATGACTAATAATGCTTTTCAAAGAAGTGTCAGTTCCAAATATGGCAACTGAAGAACCAAAAACCAAAATCATACCAATAAACATAACTTCCAAATATGAAGGCTTCTTGATTTTGAGGTAGCATAGGCATGGTAACAATATCGACACGGTAACGCCCAAAAGTGCGCCCGTAAATGTCATGACATATCCAAAAAATGGAACGGTTAACGCCACAATGACCGTGCTGATGACCAAAAATGTTCTGATGAAGTAGCTCACGATAAATTTACTCTTTCGTAAAGGTAATTCATCTTCAATAGCCGTTGCAATTGGAGAGATGACAAGAGCATACTTTGTTATTGAATTAACAAGTGTCGTATATATTGCAATTTTTGAACTAATTTTCCCAGTAGGGAGATTTAATGTTATTTGTGACATTAAATTTTGTCCATACATTAAGTACCCCATAGTTGCCATTGATCCATAGGTTATGGTGCTTAATATAAAGCACACAAATAAAACCTGCATGACAAGAAGAAAAAAAAAAGATTTAAGTTATATATACGCGTTGATAAGTAAAATATGTTTATAATTATTAGTGTAATATGACATGTAGCAAAGGTATTTATCATTTATTATAAGTTGCCAACTTTTATATATATATATATATATATAAAAGTTGGCAACTTATAATAAATGATAAATACTTTGCTACAAAGACTTTTTCTTTCTTTAAGCTTCATATTCAATCAAATATTTATATGGGGTAAAAATCGAACAAATGTGTGAACCAATTAAAGGGTGACACATGGAAGATAGAACAGACCAGATGTGACTCAATAACAGTACTAAACATCATACATCTTTCTTAAAATGTGCCACGGGAGAAACCTCCATCTCATTTGATGACATACTTTTATATAATTTTAATCAGTCGTCTCAAAAGAAATGTCATCCATCTTTCTATAACAAAAAAACAACATAACTTTAAATTTCCTTTTACACCCTTAATGAAACAATAGACAACCACAAATCACCTTGGGAAATTGGCTCCTATCCTTCATGGAATTGCATATTGTTGGGAAAATAGCATGACCACAATAACAAAATGTATACATACTTATAGCACTTATCGATCCATCCCATCTCCAAATCACACCTTTTTCTTCAAATTCAATACCATCAATTGCACCAACCCAAAATATTGAAAAAACCAAAACAATTGAAGCCAAAACTCCACCAATAGAAACATAAGCCAATAAACCTAAACTTTTTAACCATGTTGTTGGCAATATTATAATAGCAACTAATAAAACCAAAACTTCCGTTCCAACAATTTTAACACAACCAACATGAATTTTTGCATTTGGGAATAATTTTTGCAAATTGTCACCTTCTAATATGAGGAATTCAATTGCAACAAAGTATAGTTCAAGATATAAGAAAACTGATATCAAGATTCTTCCTTTGTTATCAAAAGTAAATTCACCAATATCAGGATATGTCTTAATTGATGGTGAAACACTCATGCATTTTTGCAAAAGTAATCCTGTGTAACAACATATAATTGCTACCAAAAAAAGTAGCATCAAACATAACAATCCTCCTTGTGAAAGTGCATAGGGTACTGATATTATTCCAATACCTATATGAAAGAAGAAAAAAAGAGTTCTAAGTTTTATGTATCGAGTTACTGAATATTTATATAGTCAGGTCACTTATAAGGTGATTACTGATAAATTTATCTATGTGATCATAAGCATAGGTAAGATGATAGAAATAATAATAAGTGACTTGTTATAACATGTTGACCAATACTAATAACGTAAAAAAATGTTTACAATGTCGGTGCATATAACTTCAATTAAAGTACTATACAACAACATATTCAGTGAAATTCCATAAGTGGGGTCTGCAGAGGGTATTTGGAGTATATACACAGCCTTATCCCTACCCTATGACGATATAGAGGTTGTTTCTGATAGACCCTCGACTCAAGTAAAGCATAACAAAACAAGAAAGAAAAGAGTATACCAGTAGCACCAACAAATAATACAATAACCGAAACAAAGGAAATAATAGGTAAAACTAACCAGTACAAGAAAGTAGGTAGAAAAAATACTAATACCACTGACAAGGGAAACTGGACAGCACGACTTCTTACTAACCTTTTATCATAATTCTTGATTTTCATATCTTTTTATCTTGGATCATATCTTCGATAAGCTAAATGATAATGACTTATTTCTACTTTTGGATGTGTCTTGAAAACAACAACAAAAAATAATGAGATGTTTACCTGATAATGCATTAATACCATTGAAACATGTTCTAAAGAAAGAGGTTCCTTTACTAGGCTCCATAATTTGTGGAATCTGATTTTGAGTCTCAATTTTCTCCACACTATGGGATTCCATATTTTTTGAGTGCCAAAATTAACATCAAAATGCTAGTTTATATATATGGGTTTTGGCAAATTTGTCTAGAATAAAAATATTCTATCTTATATGTTTTTAGTTATTAATTCAAATTAAAACTCAATAACTAAAAAGCTAGAGTTTAAGAGATACAGTGATGGCGTTCTGCTTTTTACCTAGAGAGGGGCATTCAACCCCTATTTCATCATATTCTTCTATATGAAATGTTGATATGGATCGAAAAAGGATAATTCAAATAAGGCTATTATTGGAAGATTTTTTTTTTTTATCGAATAGACTAGCACAAGTAAAAAAAGATTGAATAATTTATTAATTTAATCAAGAAGCGGAACATACACTATATTAAAAATGATCTTTGACGGTAATTTATTAATGGTAATAGCTTAATCGTTGTTAAATATGTATTTTTAGAAGCAATTAACATTCTTTGTAAATATTTCTAAAGCTTATAGCGACATTGGATCTAATGACTACTAATTAATATTAATAAAAAACATTATCACTCTTTGTTAAATGTGTATATTTATTATCACTATTTTTATTCCTATTATTTAGGAAGACAATGTTCTTCTAATTCTAGGATACCTTTTAATCTCTTTTATTATTTTCTTCTCTTTTTTTTTTCATTAGGTAATTTTCTATCAATTGTTTTAACTATTCGACTTTTGTATTGAAACATTTAAATCTAATATGTAAATAATAGTTATCTATGTTTTTCATTAAAATAATAACTCAATTTGCACATGCATACACTTACTACTATAATTTTAAAAAATAGTTTGCATCCATTAAAAATGTCCTTTAGAATCAAACCTCATTTATACTGAATTAAAGTCTCCATTTATATGGGATTTTTTTTTGTTAATTTTGGAATATATCAATTCACACGTTTTTGCACGAATCTTTATTATAATGAGTATATTATAGTACTACAATACTAAACTTTTAATAATAAACAAGAATGGATTTTATCTAGTACAAAAATAAAAATATTCTTTTTCATCAAGCAATTTGTTGGACATGAAACTTAACTCTGGCTCTTCCTCTGTATTAAGCAACGTTAATTGGATATGAAATTTTATTGCTTTAGCGGTTTCGGTAATAGTTTAGATTTTTTCTATTATCAGATTATTGATTCTTAACGGTTTGAGGTATTTTTTTAACAGATTAATTAACCAATAACCCGATCGAAAATTACAATAAATTATATTTATACCATTCGATATATAAAGTTCTTAACTTAGAGTTTATTTTCATATTTTATTTCTAATTGTCTCAATCTCTTGATTACTCTACAATGTGTGTTTATACTTTTGAGAAAGATGCAAAATTTGTCAAGTCATGTGCAATTGTGCATAGTTCATTTGGTTTGTTACCTTGTTTATAAGTGATTTTCATTGATTTTTTTTTGTCAAATCTAAACGGTTAAACCAATAACCGATAAACTGATACCTGATAAGTTAATACTTGATGATTCTATAATATTTTAGCATATCTACAAATCGATAAATTAAACTTTAAAATCAAATCTATCGATACTCATCGCAGATTAATCAACCTGTGGTGCTAAATGTCGAAAAAATGTCGATTCAAAAGCAACAATAGACGCAAAAGGGGCAACAAGTCACAAGCCATCTTTACACACTAAAAGTTTAACTTTTTATCACATTAATATTTTTCTATCTCATTCCAATCCTCTTCTCTATTTACATTGAGAATATTATCCTTAAAATATTTTAAATTTTTATATGAATCTACTTTTTTTGCTATTCTTAATTAATATTGGAATATAGGAAAAAATCATTTCGCAAATTCAACGAGCAAGGTTTTTTGACATGAGGGAAATTTTCCTAGTGTTTTTCATAAAGTTCCACTTCTTCCTTTTTATATAATAATTTGTAGGGAATGCAAATTTTTCCTTTGACTATAATGTCTTACTATAGGATTGATTTGGTGGACATTTTTTTGTTTTTGTTTTTTTTATCGGTGTCCGATATATGATTAATTGATTCGATCCGCGTAAGATTTTCATTTCAAGAAGGTAATGAATTGATTTTGTATTATATATTATATAGGATACATTGTAATTTGTATCATGTAAGATGTGTATATCTACTTGTTCAACGTTATACAAGTTTAAATATCTATTTATGCATATCTAAACTTGGAGATTATAAATATGAGCCAAAATCAAGTATGTATTATGCATGGCTTCTTAAAATGTGAATCCAAAAGTATGATTTTGGAGAATGGAAAATCCACATATAGATTCTTTGTGCACTTATTTTCAAGAATCAACAAATGGACAAAGAATAATCCAAAATCTCTATTTTTTTCTCCCAACGTGAAGGACAATGCTAATTTTTTTTGGTTTAATTAATTTCCTGTTTGATGCAAAACAAAATTCCTAGAATCTCTACTCTAAAAAAAAAATTAGCCAAATGTTAGTCATTATTCCTTGACTAATACATTAGTGGTCCTAAAAACGTGAATATTTATAGAATATGACCTTTGGATTTAATTATCTTCTACGTACGTACAAGTAATTAATTGTTATATATATATATATATATATATATATTGTATGTATATTGTTTTATTAAATGATGATATTCATTTTATTTCTAGTTGTTTACTTCTTTGTATTTCAAAATCGGTTGATTGGGGACAAGCTCAAAGTACTTCCACGTGAGAGTGACACTAAAAGTCGTGCGACTCAAAGATAATATAGAATATGGCATTTGAATTTAAGTTTAAACTTCTCATTTTATTTTTATCGACACGTTATAACTAATACATGATGGGATATATCGTAATAACAATATTGGAATAATTAGATAAAATATCAGTTACGATGTGACTTCTCTAAATATATGTTGGACAGGTGACCCTCCCAAATTGAGTCCGGAGTCAAAAGGGCAAAAAAAATTATCAAAAATTTCAAAAGGGAACATTAATTTTTTTTTTAACCAAAAGGGTAAAATCGCTCTTGAGGGAGCGATATCCTTCGGAGAAAATTAACTCCGTCTACTCCATTAAAATAAACAAAAATCGCTGCCCCAGCATCGATTTTATTGATTTTTTTTATTGTTTTTCTCGTAAAATCGCTGCCTTAGTAGCGAATTTGTCAAGTTTGTCTTTTTTTTATAAAATCACTGCACCGGCAGAGATTTTGTCAATTATTTTTTTTAAATGGCTGCTTCAGCAGCCTTTTTTTTTTTAAAAAAATAATTAATATCGCTGCAATGGCAGCGATTCTCTTTTATTTTTTTATTTTTCTTTTTAATTTTTTTCCAAAACTTCTTTTAACAAAAAAGTTTAAAGACAAAACGCTTTGGAAAAAAAAGTTTTGAAATAAAACGCTGCTCCGCAGCTATTTAAAAATAAAATAAAATTTAAAGAATTTTAAAGAATATCGCTGCAATTGCACCGACTTTAATTTTTTTATGTAAAAAAAAGAAAAAACACTGCTCCTTTCGCCTTTGATAACACTTCTAGTTGCTGCCTATAAGGATTTTACAATATTAATCAGAATGCTAGATAATGAAAATAAAATGGAATAATGTTGAATGCATCACAAAAGTATTTTTGGCTAATGTTGCTCAAACTTTTTAAAAATATTAAATGTTTCTCAAATTATTAAAAAATAAATCAAGAAAAATATATTTATCATATGTTGTTTTCTTTTTGTTTTATTTGGGCCGGTAACTATTGGGTCGGCTAAATTTTTGTTGGGCCTTTTTTTTCATTATATAAAATCGGCCCAATGGACATATTAACTTCTTTTTAAAAAAAGAAAAGGATAGAAAGTAGGGGAAACTACATAAATGGGCCATAAAATCTAAAATAATTAAAAGTTCTTACCCAAATCCAAAGTAATTCCTGAAATATTCATTCTCTCATAAATAATTACAGTCCATATGCTCCATTCGTTAAGAGTGATAATTTTCGCTTAACTGATACTAAATCGGTATGATATATTGTATTGGTATCATTAAGGTTGATAATTTCACTTAACTAATACTAAATCAGTATATATATATACTGTATTGGTATCATTAAGGTTTCTTGTTAAGAAATTATTTATTAGTCAATGATACTATAAGAGTATGTATGTATATTTTATGGTATCATTAAGGTTTCTTGTTAAAAAATTACTCATTAGTCAATGATGATATAAGGGGATATTTGGTTAGTTATTTAGTGGGGTATGAATGTAAAGGGATATATGTTTGTAATTATTTTGCTTTTATGGGGTATTTGCTTATTTTTTCCCAAGAAAGTATGATAAATTGATAATGGAGATATTCAAGAAAGTAAACACTTCAATTTTGAGAGTGCGTGTATGTAATGACCCTAAAGGTCATTTTTGAAAATTTTCATAAAATGACAGTTTTACCCCTCCCGATAGTTGCCCCGAGTCCTAATTGTTGTATTTTCGAAGTTGGTTTGAAGGAAAATTGATGAAAAGTTGAGTTTTTGGAAAGTTGAGTTTTTAAGAGTTAAAATTTGGTTAAAAATGCTATTTCGAGTCATTTGGAGTTTCGAGACTCGAATCGGATTTCCGTCGATTCCAACAGTTTTAGAATGTCGAAACAGGTCTATGAGAATTTATGGAGTCGAATTTGGAGTTAAAACGAAGATTTGAGGTCCTAAATTGCTAAAATTGTGAAATTTTGATCAAGAGTTGACTTTGGTCAACAAACGAGGTTCCGGTGCTCGAAATGGAATTCCGAGGGCACCGTTGGATTCAGGGGGTGATTCTAAGTCTAGAATGAGTATTGGCTGAATTTTTAGAGTCCCCGAGTGCGTTTCGAGTTTTTGAGCCTAAAATTAGTTTCTTGACGCCTTATCGGATACCGGGTCAAAGAGACCTCGAATTCAAATTCCGACAATTTCATTGAGTCCGAAATGTCATTTTCAAGCTAGTAGCATATTTGGTTTGTGTTAGGGAAGTGCCAAATGAGTTTTGGGTGAGCTTTTAAGCTTC